AGCCAGCCATGCTGGCTGGGGAATTCCGGGAGTGGAGGTCCACACGTCTTAGAGTTGTCAAGGTTGAGAAAGACTGAACTAATTCAACCCTGTGCTCAGCCTAGGATCTGCTAAAGCATTTGGACAGATGGCTTTTTAGCCTCTGCTTGAAGACCTCTGATAAAGTGGAATACACCACTTCAGAAGGCAGTCTTTTCCGCCAGTTAAATAGTATTTAGCCTTAGGAAATTCCTCCTAATATCTAACCTGGATCTAATTTCCTGTAGTTTCAACCCACCGGCTTTGGTCCTGTCTTCTGGGGTGACAGAGAACCCATTAGCCTTTCATAAAAGATTGTTTGAAGAATGATGAAGTAGCACCTTTCTTTTAAAGGCCTGTTAGTTTTCATTCACCTTTTCTGCTTCTGGTGGGAATCCGTTATACCCGTCAAGCTAATGAAATGCCATTGAATCGACTCAATTCCTGGTGACTCCACCGAAAAAGACCACAAAATGCATGTATTTTATTTTTAAACCATTTACACAATCATTTAATGTTCTCCTACATTCAATTATTAGATTTTAAAACGTGCTGCTGTATTCCACCGCTGATCAAAAAAACGTTTTTTCCCTCCCCATGAGGATGATCCGGCTTTTAAAACTGAGCCTCCCCCGAGGCCACTTTGAATTCATAAGATCTTAGAGTGGCATCCGTAGGAATCAATAGGAATCAATCCTTTAGGTAGGATTTCAATACATTTATTGTTTTCACTCAACTGCACCAGCCTTTGGTTGCAATTTTTCTCTCTAGCACAAAGATCTTCTTTTTTCATTCCTTCATCCTTTTTAGCTTTTCCAAGCACGGCGATGATATTGGTTTGCAACATTCATGCCAACTTAGCCAACTGCCAAAGATTTTGGTCTGAGTGGTATTCAGGGGAGGAGAACCTTAATACTGTTTTGGCAATCTGCTTTTTATCTAGTGGCAGAAGCTTCAGGCCTTTTCACATACTATCAGAGATACGTGAAAGTCCACACATTCTGCATTTAATTTATTTAAATAATACCTAATCCATCTGTCAGGGAGCATAACTCCCCGCCCCAGCATGGCACTTTGCAATAAAGTACATGCCACAGTTACAACATGGCAGCACATTAAAGTTAGTGAAAACTAGTAGCCGGTAAAGATATTGTCAAGCCAGATATCTTAACCAAAGGCAGACTGGAAGAGAAGAATACAGGATTAAGGTTTTCTTTAAAATATTAGCTGTAGGTATTTGCTTGGGAGGGAATCCCAAATAGTACTGCCAAGAACACTCACTCTGCTTTAGAGTATAGATTGCAAATATCGATGTTTTATATATTTTGGATCTGCTTTTGGGGGGTTGCAAAGAAAAAAGCTGGGTTTAATGAATCAACCACAGTGGGCTGCATTTGCACAACATGTTATATAAATTGAAATAAATAAATAAATAGAAGTTAAGCTATGAGCCTCCATTCACAAACTACAGTGGCTGTATTCACACAATACCAGAAGCCCAAACCAGTAAACCACATGATGACATAATGTATGATTCAAATCAGGGGATAATGAAATAACAGAAGAACTTTCATGTCTGTGGGAGCAGTGGTGCAACACCATTGCAGAACTGAAAACTTTGAAGCCTACGGAGTATCACTTATATATGACATAAGCACCCTCCTGCTTCAGGTAGACCTTTTGTAGACCAAGCCAAGAGTCTTACTTACTTACACACAGACAACGCCCCCACAAAGCCACCAGGACCTTCCAAACAAAATAGAAACTGAACTCACAATTCATTCCTATACATATTTATTCAGAAATAGATCCCAGAGGCATTGAGGGATACAATTTTAATAGTCAGGTTGAAGACAAAAACTGAGAACTAGTGTAGTAATGCCCACACTAGGTCAGCAATGAAATATTGTTTGAAACAGAGACACACTTTTCTTGGAAGGCTGGTGCACGAACAATAGGGTAGCACAATAGATTTTCCTCCTCTGCACTCCAGTTCTCTATTCCTGCAGATCATGTACCTGGCTAAACATCTGCATTTTGGATGAGCGTTAACTCTGCTGCCCTTCGCTGGCAGACTCTCTCTGCAGCAAGTCGTTCCCTGCAGGATCTGAGAATCAGGGAATAAATATGCCTCACACAAATGGTGTTTGAACAGCGGCGGTGGGGAGATGGGGTGGTTTTTCTGTATTCTGGTTGGACATCCTTAGCTCCCCACAGTCTTTTTACAGCCTGTAATGCTCATCATGGCGAAATTCAGCAGCACAGATTTATTCTTTGAGAGCAAAACAGATAGGACAATCTTTGCTAGGGTAATTCAGTCCTGCAAGGCTTAACCTACGTGTTTTGCTCTTTAAGAGCAAGTCCAATGGGGGCTCCCAAATATTCATGCCTTGTTTCACAAGCGATGGCTCACTCATGCGCTCGTGGTTTCATTCGGCACAGGACATCCGCGGCTGTTCTGCCGTGGGCTATCAACTAAAGCAGCGATGGCAAGCCTTTTGCACTTGACGCATCAAAAAGTCGGAAAACGCCTACCTTGACTCTGCTGGCGCGTCACACACCACCCCTGGAACAAAAGAGAAACAATCCTTTACATATTCATTTATTTTTTAAAAATACAGTCCAATCATATGCGGTGCTATGCATTGTATAAAGAAACGTCAAATAATTACAAAAATGAAATACGAGTAAAACAAACTCAGTTTCTTTGGCAACTCAAAGAGGGAGAACAGTTGTTGTCGGGTGTGGGTGAATGCGGGCGTGTCACCCAAAACGTCATGGCCTGTCACCTTTGACACCCGTGTCATGGGTTCACCATCACTGAGCGAAAGGATCAGGAAATCAGGAGCAAAGAGGCTCTGACAGGCAGAAGTGGAAACGAAAGGGAAGCCTTGCAGCTCCAGAGATAAGATGGGATTGAATGCCTTGGAGAAAAGGTGGCATGTTTTGCAGCAAGCGGAGGGATCCTGGGCGCAGCCCTCTGAAAGCGAAGTGAACCCTGTTCTAATCCCTGGGATCAAGAGCATCACCACCCTACTTAGAATAAGGTTCTGGCTTAGTGAGCTCAAGTTGTCTCTAAACCACGGTTCATGATTTAGCACGTCGTGGGACCCCAACAGTGGCTTGGTTTAAGCAGCACACTAGGGTGTCTGTGAATCCAGCTAGGGGACTTATTTCTGCATACAACCCCCCAACAATCCCCTTGATGCACCCTCAGCCAGAGGTGAGTCCCATTAGAAGGAGAGGCACTCGAGGGTGTCTGCATTTGGGATCCACTGGGTAATGTGTAACTCCTTTGTAAATGTTACGCATGGGACGCTGCTGTTTCCTCCCCTCTCTCCATGGCAGCCTCCTTACCTTCTCTGCTTTCTGCTATTTAGGAACAATGGAAGAAAAATACGCAAATCCTCTCCTTCCAGCTTCATTGGCAGAGAAGGGGCAGTTTTATATATTTCTTTTCCCGAACGCATTTAAGGAAGGCGCGTGAGAGATTTTACTCTAGAGAACGAAAGAGAGAGGGGCAAAAACCCCAAGGAAAATAAAGCTAAAAAGTTTTTTTGTTTTTTTTTAACTTCCCTGAAGGCAAGATACTAACGCTTCTCTCTTTGAACAATCTCCTTGCCTCGCCCACAGTTTGACCTCAGTTTGGGAATATCTGAAAAACAGGTCAGAGAGATTTAAATTAAAAAAAAAAGTGTGCGGCTGGAGCGGAGGCGGGGCCAAGGCGCGGAGAGGCGGGGCCCCGAGGTGGGAAAGTGGGCGGGGCCACGAAGAGCAGGTGAAACTGACTCCGGGCTGAACTTCGCTCGGCTGAGGCGGCTCCCGGCGCCGGGCGGCCACCGGGGTGGTTTCTGTTCCTGGGCGTCGCGGGCGCGCGCAGCCTTTGCCCGGCGGGGGCCGGAGCTGCCCAGGGCGGGATGGCTTGACGGCGGCGAGCGCGCGGGGTCTGCCGGCCAGCGGAGGTGAGCGACTCCCCGCCCGAGCCATGGCGCAGGAGCT